TCGTCGTCGTCGTCGTCGTAGTCGTTGTTGTTGCTGCTGTTTGTTGCTGTGTGTTACTTTGTTGCTTTGTTGGTTTGTTGGTTTTTTGTTGTTGCTGCTGCTGCTGCTGCTGCTGCTGCTGCTGCTGGTGTTGTTGTTGTTGTTGTTGTTGTTCTTGTTGTTCTTGCTGCTGCTGCTGCTGCTGGTGGTGGTGGTGGTGGTGGTGGTGTTGTTGTTGTTGTTGTTGTTGTTGTTGTTAATGTGGTTGTTGTTAATGTGGTTGTTGTTGCTGTTGTTGCTGTTGTCGTCGTCGTGGTCGTCGTGGTCGTCGTGGTCGTCGTGGTCGTCGTGGTCGTCGTGGTCGTGGTCGTCGTGGTCGTCGTGGTCGTCGTGGTCGTCGTGGTCGTCGTGGTGGTAGTGGTGGTGGTCGTGGCGGCGGCGGTGGAGGTGGTGGTGGTGATGGTGGTGGTGGTGGTGGTGGTGGTTGCTGTTGTTGTTGCTCATGGTAATGATGAAGCACGTTCACCGGATGGTGCTACTGACGTTGGTGATGCTTCCTGTTGCTGCTGATTGTCCTGATGCTCGTGTCTCCTTTGTCAACGCTCTTTTGGAGATTTCTCCGGTTTACGGTCGCAGTAGCCCCTTGTAATCGTTGAGGTTCATGCGTGGCATTTCAACTCTCTTTTTCGGGTTACTGTGGCCACTGTCGTGGCAATGCCTGAGGCTTTGTTTCGCCTGACTGAGGTTTGCCTGGGAGAACAGCTCGAGGGGGCCGCTGAAGATTACAGAGGGGCTCCTCAGCTTATGTTGGGGCATCAGTGCTTGGGGTTTTGTGCTGGGCTCTTAAGCTTGCTTGGGGTTTTTGTTGTCTTTGGCAGGCCAAGGTTCAGAGGTTCCCTGATTCTGAGGAAGAAGTGGGCAGATCTTCTGGAAGAGACCGATGACACCCCTCTGATGATCACAGACGCAGAGGCGAGACAGTACGGGCAGCTTGAAGCGGTGCGGTCGACACTTGAAGCAGATCGAGCCTGAACGCACAATGTGTAGGCTTGAATTTGTTGACTGCACCTTCCTGCACTTGCCAGACGTGCGGAGCAGGTAATACTGAGATGTTTCAACAGCAGCCCAAGCTCCTGCTTTAGAGGTTCCTCCGAGTTTCCGACGGGCTGACAGTGAGGTCGAGGAGCGTATGGTGCTGGAGTGACCCCTTCCTGTTTCTGTGCCTTTGCCAGGAGACTCCACCGCCTTTGCTGCTGCAAGTCCATGAGGAGCAGCTTCGGGACTCAGAGGCCGAACGTACAATTGACTCCAGCCTTCCTGGATCAATCAATGGGTATAGGCACCCTTAAGTAGATAGAATATGGCTTTGGGTATATTACAATAAGATCCCCATACATCCCATATTCTATCTACTTGAGGGGGGCTATACTGTAGTAGCCTGAGAACAAGTTTCGTTTGGAGGATGGCTTGACTAAGCTTCCATGACATTCGTCAATTCGGATGATTTCTGCGGGGGTTTGCAAGAGCAAGCACAATGAACAACCAGGACCGTTTGCATGTAAGTATACCAGGACCTCGTGAGCACACTTACCAATCCTAACCTTAAGATCAGGCAGAGGCTGGTGCTGATGCTGACGCCAATGTGCCGTGGCATCAGCTATTCTTCACCGAAGATGCCGTGGCTAATGCACTGTACCACTCTTGCCCAGCAGGAGCCACCACTGCAAAACGACATCCCTGCACAGCACTAGTGGCCTTGAATGTGCATATTAAGGCACCCGCACGGCGCCGGCGACGGCGGCGCCGACGACGTTCGCCGGACGACAAGCGGACCCCGTCCAATGAACCGGTCACGTGGGTTTCGTGATCTTGTACAAGCTTTGTCGTGGCTGAGAAGATCCATGCTGCTGTTTTAGCTGGCAATATGTGAAAACAGTTTTCTCAAAGTGAGAGGCCTGGGTTGAAAGCAGCAAGCCCACAGAAGCGGAGACTATGCCACTTGCTGGCATTTCATGGTCGCGTTTTAGGGGCCCTGACTGTGCCGCCGCCCTAGCATTTCCTCACCTGGCCTCACTAGTAAGCTAGCATTTCTCATCTTAAAGTAAGTTTGGCATAGGTGTAAATTTCGGCTTGTGTGATCTTCGGTAGAGGCATTAACGCACCAATCCCCAACGAGACGGATGGTTTTTTTCTTGTACTGTACTGGGGACAGCTTGTCCTTGGTGCTGAGGCAGCATCATTCAAGGAACGGAGGTGATAAAAAGTCCAGTAAACCAGAAAACAGGCACAATCTTAGTCTTAGTGCTGTGCTCACTATGCCATGAGCTTTTTTCGTATCACCTTTAGCGTGCAAGGCGTGCCCGCGCAGACATGGAGATGGAGCCCCAGAAGGTGACCTTTGAAGAGGCTTCAGATGAAGCAGTTGGCCACTCAGAGTCTTGGCATCTGGATCAGTGGGTGAAGGCACAACATAGCAGCTTTGCCCACAGCCGAGCTGCAAGTGCAAATTAGGAAGTCAAGCAGGCAGCTTACAAACCAAGGAGGAGGAGGACGAAAAGGATGCTGAGACCTCAAATGCACCGCGCCGCCGGCGAAGGAGGCAGGAGGCATGTCTTAGGCAGCGTGCTCTCGAGCATCAGAGTGGCAGATTCAGCTTTCAGAGGCAGGGAGGTTAAATGCAGTGCAGCTCCCGCGGTGCTAAAAGGTTAACAGCTAGAGACACCCCGCCGGAACCCGAGCAGACCGATCCCTTTTTTCATGATTTTGGAGCCTGAGGAGGCCACGGGGCCGAGGAGGGAAGGCCAAGGCTGAGGGCAAGGCCGGAAGCAAAATTTTCGCAGGCTGATTCACTGATTGGAAGGGGCTTCATGTAGATGTGTGAATCTAGAAGAGCCTTGCTTCACATGGAATGGACTTGTTTAGTGCGAGTTGAGTTCTGCTTCGTCACGTCAGCTGTGATGCTTGCCTGGCCCGTGGGTTCCAAAGCAAGGTTAGGAGTCTACGCTTGCTACCCTGCGCCGGAGGACGCACCTCCCAACACGTCGGAGATCGCGACAGAGCTTGCCTAGTTGTTCAATTCACAGTATATTATAGTATATGATGGTATATTATGGTACATTATTATAGTATATATGCTTAGGTTGACTTCGTTTCACCCTTGTGAAGGGCACGCTGCGCCACGGTGCGCCCGAACGTATTGCCGTTGCCCCACAGGGCCTGTCCATTCAGGTGGACTCAAGACTCAAGACTTATGGCCGGTGCGACCGTGTCACCGACGGAAAAGCCTCACTGCATGCTATTGTGGCGCGTGACTGCATGCCGAGAGATTGTCTTGCAGCAAGGCCCGGCCCCACTGCAACGTACACTGCTGCAAAAGCTATGACAGAACAGCTGTTTTTCAGCAACGTTGTCAAGTTTTTGTTCTGGAAGTCACATGCTACGAAGCTTGTGCGGTAGCAAGACATATGTTTGGACACATGGGGCATGACCCGAGGCTGGAAGCGCATGACCTGGAGACTTGCAGACGCCTTTCATGTGATTCGTACCATTGTTCTTGAATGCAGGTGGATGTCCAGGTTTGCCTGGCACTGAAAGGGTTTGGTGACCTGAGAGTGATCACTTGCATGAAGCAGATTGCGCTCGGCGTTTCTGGCTCCAGCCCGGTCAGAAGTATCGGTGCAATTGGTTTTGCTTGATGCCCCATTTGCAATGATCAGCAGCGCTGAGCCCTTACTTCTGTTGTGCGTGCACGTCTCCAGTTGGGTGTGGCATGGCTCGAAGCGATCTCTGCATAACGCCATATGTCAGGTGGAATGCACGAAGCTTGAAGGTCTTCTTGAAGGCAAGCATCAAGAGATCTTGTCTCGCATTGATGAGTTGCTGTCGCAGCAGCGGCGGTTGCCTTAGAAATGGCTACACGCAGAGCTGGCAGGGAAGCCAGTCCAATGTAGGTTTGCGGAGTGCCATGACAGAACAGTCAGAATTTTCCCTGGCCTCATTTACAGCGTTGCCTAGGCTGGTTGCTGAGCTGTTGAATCCAGCGGCAGCAGCGGCAGCAGCTGAACCAAGAAGAGCGGACTCCGATTTCCTTGGCTTTGTGTCAGAGCCTGTCGGCAGCAGATGCCCCTGGAAATCACTGCATGTGGATGATTAATGTGGACCATGAAAAGGCCCCTAGATGGGTTGAAATAGCTCAGGCCTGACATCTCCGAGGACACAGTGCCCGCGCAGAGGGTTTCCTGTCAGTCCACCACTGCGACGGCTTCAGAATTCACTCGGTCAAAGTCATATGAACTGGCCATGGTTCACAGCTCCATGCAGCAGAAGCAACTGACACGGAGTGAGTCGACCGTTGAGCAGTGGGACAGCTGGCCTACATTGTCAGACGAAGCTGACGAATCCCATGCAAAATCCTCCTTCGAAAGATGGGTGAAGTCATGGAAGTTTGAGCGAATCTTCGCCATCGTTTTGATGAGCAACGCAATCTTTCTGGGCATCCAGACACAGTGGAGTTCCATGCACTTGCACGATGAGCTGCCAGTGGCATTCCTGGTGCTGCAAATGATTTACGCCGCGCTCTTCATCTTGGAGATTTGCTTTCGGCTAGCAGCATGGGGCCTAAAAGGGTTCTTCTGTTCTGACGACTGGCTTTGGCACATGCTGGATGTCTTCGTCTGGCTGACAGCTGTTCTGGAACTAGTGGCGGATATCATGAGTTTGGAGGCCCAGCACGCCACCAGTAGCAGTGGCTTCAGATTGTTGCGAATCGTGAAGATTGCGCGATTCGCCCGTGCCATTCGGATCTTCAAGGTCTTGCGATTCGTCCGGGCTTTGCGCATTCTGCTGTTTTCCATTCTGCACACGCTGAAGTCACTGATATGGTCTCAGGCGAGCATGCTTCAAAAAGGTTGGCTGGAGGTTCTTACGGTGAGGAAAGACGTTTTCCTTCGGCTTTGGAGACTGCCAATAATTAAATGATATCAACAAGGATGCATTCCAGTGCGTCTCGTTTCTGTTGCATACCAGACCTGCAGTCATGACATGTGGCCGAGGTCTTGCTCATGATCATCATCTTCTCATTCGCCATCTTGTTTTCAGACGCTACCATTGCGTACGTGGTGGACAATGACCTGGCGCAGCCCCTTGGCTTTCATTAAGTGCAGTTGGGGTGCCACCTCTAAGGTGCACATGAAAACGCGCTCGAATGTGCATACCAAATCAACGAAAAGGAGCGCATACAGATGGCTATCTGCATTCTTGTCGTCATTCTTGGACTCTGCGGGTCTTTGCCATTTTCCCAACATAGCCCCAACATACTATTTTACGGTAGCCGACTCAAAGCCTCGAAGGTGCACGTATAGCTCGCAATCATAAGACACCTCAACCCCTTAGCGGGCAAGCTCTGACAACAAGTCGCTCAAGACTTCTTACACCGGGGCCTGGTAAATCCTGCAGAACCTGATTTGTGCTGAGCCTCTGAGACTCTGAGATGTTAATTCACCATGGCAACATGTCATTTTGCCACGCAGAGTTACACGTCAGCTCCAATTTCGGATATTCTTGTTTATGTTTTTTTACTTGCCTTTCAACTGGCCGCTGTTGGTCAGAGCTCAACCACCCGAAGTCTTAAAACAACCTAAACCCAAAATCCAACAAAGTCTCGCACCCACCGCTTGCATGACTCTTACATAGCAATCCCACAACCATATGCACCTACACATGAAAGTGCCTAAGCCTCAAACCCCTACCCTCTGAGTCCCTCATTTACTCCAAGGCTCCCAAATCTTGAGCCCATAAAGTCTGCAACCTCTAAAGTCTCCACCCAAACTCCTGAGACTTCAAGCTCCAGAACCCCAAAACTCTGCAACCCTAAAACGCCACAGCCCAAAACGGCCATTGAAACAAAAACGGCCCCCAAACTCCAAGGGCCGTTTATCCTGAATCCCAAGGAGCCTTGAAACCCCTGAACCATCAAACCCTCCAGCTCTGAATCCTGCTTTGGCCCTAAAGAGCTTGTGTGAATGCTGCACGTATATTGGCTAAGGTCCTTCGATTCCACAACTCTGTTCAAGTATTTCGGGTCCCCGCTACGGACCATGACCACGCTTTTTCGCTCCATATCTGGAGGTGTCACGTGGGAAGAGCCTGCAAATGCTTTGCAAGATGTCGGCGGGGAATGGGTTTTGCTGTTCACCGTTTACGTTGCTCGGTTGCGGTTTCCGTTTTTATTGCCTCCTTTCCTGTGTATCTTGGACTAAGCTTAACAGGCTTAACATACCATGTATACCATGGTACACAACTGGCAACCGGTGCTCTGGAGAGCGCCTGTCAAGAGACAGCAACGAAGACGAGGAGCTGTTTTGCCGTAAACTCATCTGCAAAGCTTCCTAAATACTACAGTCAGGGTTCGGTTCTAACACCAGGAGTGGACCAAGAAGTCGTGTTGTTCTTGGGACAGGATCAGTCCGTCAGACTTTGCCAGAGAATTTGTTTCTTGAGCGTACTCCAGGCCCTAAAACCCTACCACTAGAATGTTCAGCCTACATGTGATGTTCAGCGGCTCTGCCGCTTGTGAGGTTCACTCTGCCGCCTGTGATGTTCAACGGCGGCGCTGCCGCCTGTGATGTTCAAGGGCGGCGCTGCCGCTTGTGATGTTGACAGGCGGCGCTGCCGCTTGTGATGTTCAAGGGCGGCGCTGCCTCTTGTGATGTTCAAGGGCGGCGCTGCCGCTTGTGATGTTCAAGGGCGGCGCTGCCGCTTATGATGTTCAACGGCAGCGCTGCCGCTTGTGATCTTGTGAGGTTCAACGGCAGCTCTGCCACTTATGATGTTCAACGGCGCCGCTGCAGCTTGTGAGGTTCAACAAGGGCGCTGCGTTGTGATGTTCATTGGCGGCGCTGCTGCCCGTGATGTTCAACGGCGGCGCTGCCGCTTGTGAGGTTCAACGGCGGCGCTGCCGCTTGTGAGGTTCAACGGCGGCTCTGCCGCTTGTGATGTTCGTCGGCGGCGCTGCCGCTTTTGATGTTCAACGGCGGCGCTGCCGCTTGTGAGGTTCAACGGCGGCGCTGCCGCTTGTGAGGTTCAACGGCGGCGCTGCCGCCTGTGATGTTCAACGGTTCAACGGCGGCGCTGCCGCTTGTGATGTTCAGCGGCGGCGCTGCCGCTTGTGATGTTCAACGGCGGC